GCCTGTTTTCTGGCCGTAACAAGTAGATATTATTGATAGTTTTACTTTCTAAGACTATATTAAAAAGTTCTAAAGACTTATCAAGCTTATTTATAACCAATAGATAATCTTAGAGTATGATAGGGTCTATATAGGTAAAGTGTTATTATACTAGAAGACTGTCTAGGATTCTTAGGAGTATGGCTTTGGCCCTGCAGCCCTGTGCTCCGCTGTGGCCCAGAAGCTCAACTCAACGTTTGAGTCCTATGGCCCTGTGGCCTTGGGCCCAGAAGCCCCACGTGGCCCTGGAGCCCTGTGGCCCCTGCTCCGTCCGTCGAGATGGCTTGACCCTTTGGGGGGGTGGGGGGGTGGTGATTTGGGCGATACGCGGAGGGTGTGGAAACAAAAATGCATTGATGAAAACGAGGTTTGAAGCACAAGATAAGATTCCTCTAGATAATTTGTTATCGCTCAACAGGAAAAGGCTGGTGCTGGTCTACAGGCAAACATTCTATCTAGGCCGTAATCTTGACACCTCCCGCCGACGACATGTACTTGGGCAAGCGCAGCTTCCGCGTCGCCCGGACCTCGGCGCCCTCCTTGCCCAGGTAGCGGCCCGTCTCGAAGCTCCAGTGCAGCGAGGCGACGGCGACGTTGCGGTAGATGTCGAGGCAGCGGCAGACGTCGCGGTCCGTATCCTCGCCGTAGCAGGGCAGCTCGGCGAGGGCCGTGTACCAGCGGCGGAAGCAGTTGTTGAGCATGTCGCCGGCCTTGTCCATGCTCTCCTGCGTCGTGAAGCCGCGCGACTTCCACGAGATGATGAGGTTGTGGTCGACGCCGTACTGGACGTCCTTCTTGTACGACAGTATGTCGTTCACGACGAGCAGCAGGTCGCTGACGACGCGGAAGGCCTCGCGGATCGACGGGTGCTCGACAATGTCGCGCGGCAGGTCGATGCCGGCGCACCATTCGAGCAGCGCCAGGATCATGGACGTGCCGACGGTGCCCCGCCGCACGGCCAGGAACTCGTCCTCGACCAGCTTGGCGTCGCGGCCCTCGACCTTGATCCGCACCTGCTCGGCCACGGCGTCAAAGTAGACGTCGTGCGCCCACTTCCAGCGCTGCCTGAAGTTGTCCGACGACTGCTTGCCGATCAGGTAGCCGTCCGGGCTGCCCTTGACGCGGTCCCAGAGCGTCTGGAAGACGTAGCGGATCGGGTAGTATTCTGGTGAGTAGCGCGGCCCCTGGTCGTCTAGGATGGCGCGCGTCTTTGCGATCTCGTCTAGCGCCGCGTCCAGGTCCGTGGCCAGGGGCCCCTCGTCGAACTGGTCGTCAAAGGCAAAGATGCACGACGCGAAGTCGTTGATGGTGCGCAGCGCGTACGGGTTGCAGTCGGCGTCCCACAGCGCCGACAGCAGCGCCAGGTTGGCCTTCTTATTGATGGCCGGCCACTTAGGGTCTGTTCCCACCATGACGCTACAGGCAGGCAATCAGCAAGTGCTAATCATCCTTTGGTGTGAGACGGAGAGGCTATCGAGCTGGTCTTGCTGTATCTGTCCAGACTTACTCGGAAATCCACTGGTCCGCCTCACGCTTCACCTCTTCAAACGCGGGATTGAGCCTCACAGGAGCAGACATGAAGGAGGCGCAGAGATCAGGCATATCCACGACCTCCATCTCGCCGCCCTCCAGACTTTGACCAGGAGCCTCAACCTTGATTTGTTCTGCCGTTACCGGTGTAGCCATCCCTGCGGCCTCAGCCTCGTTTGTGATGGTCATTGTCGTCGTGGCCATGTTTGCAGTCGAATGTTGAAGCTGAGTCTTGTTTCCAAGGTTTGTCTGTATTGCGTAGTTTCTTTCTACGGCACCGGACTACACACAAGAACGAGTGGGCTTGGGTATCGTACAAGGGGTAGACCATTCTGGATAAGCAGTGAGCTTTCTTATCATGCGTCGCGGTCGCTTTCTGGCCTTTTGACTGCCTCGCCGCGGTGGTTCTGAATAAAGCAGGAAGCCGCAAGCACGCCAAGGCATACTCCTCGCCGTGAAACGCGCGGCACTTAGCCCAGGCGCTGCAATGGTAAACCACGGACAATCCCGCGGGGGAGGCCAGCCCAGGCTGCGCGGACCTATGCCCGGATCTACTCGAATAGGAAATGGCACGGGATACGCCACGGCACAAGCTGCGACGCGCGCGGCGGGTCATCTTCACACCACGCCAGTGGAAGCGGTGCTCTTGGCCGCTCTTGTTGACCAATGAGTTGGGGGATCGTCGCACCCGCGCCCGTCCCGTGTCAGCATCCCGCCACAATAACATTGCCGGGCCGTGGTGGAAAACGGCTCCCACCCGCTTCCGGTCCCCCGTGCCAACCTCTTATCAGACGGAGGATTCTACCAAGCCTTGGTATCTGTGGTCGCGGTCCGCAGGAAGCGTGCGCCTCTGGAGCGTGGTCCTCATGCGAGGCTCTTTGGCTGCGGACCGTGGCCCGAAGAAACTTGGGTGGGGATCCTCTGCAGAAAGTCGGGGCCGAAGCACTGCCTGGTTCGCCAGAGTCTCGGTGGCTCCACAACTCACCGGTCGAGCTGGTCTCCCGGGGATGCAAAGCTCACGCCGATGTGACTGCCTTGGCATGCACCAAAGCGGATATATTGATGCATGATACTGTAGGTAATATCGATCCGATGGATACGTGTTCGGCAAGTACGGAGGATTGTCAGGATTGGCCTGTGTTTCAGCCCTAAAACAGGGCATCCCTGGGACAGGGATTTGGCAACAACGAACAACAAGCCATCACACAGATCCTAGCCAAATTAATCCTAATTGGATTGCTAGGATTATCTGTGAGGCCGGTTCAATAAGCACACCGGGCTGCGGCAAGCTGCATACGCCCTGTCAGGTCCGGAAGCCGAACCAGATAGCGGATATCTGCTCACCAAACTGCAGCGCGGTTGCATTGGAACAATCTCACGTCAGCCCGACTCAAGCAAGGCCGCCTGGGCATCGGCGTCATACACGGGTCGGACTGCACAAGTCCGAGTGGGGGCTGGCTTTATCTAGGGGCACGACGCGGGGTGCGGTAGAGAGGCCTGGACCGCCGGCTAACGCACTTTGCCGCCGTCGTGCGCTGGGCAGGAGGGCGAGCTCACATCACACTGTGATTGGCTCAAGCACGCAGCATGCTGAGTCGTAAGCATCTCTGAATTTGGAAGAAGCGCAGGGTCGGTTTAAAACAAGGACACTTCCATCCTCGGCCTGCGGCGAGAGGACAGGAACGGCCCCGAACCGGCGAGGACCGCGGAGACCATGTTCAGCACGCTGAGGCAGACCTTTGGCGGCGACGAGGCCCTGGTGAACGTGCAGACCGTCGCCCCGTTCCGCAAATGCAGGAGGCCGCTGCGAGCGGCGTGTGACAGGTGCCGTGCCAAAAAGGTTGTACATGATAATACTGTCTCCGCACCGTTCGGCGCCCAAACCGCAAGCTTCAACCGCTGACTTAGCCATGCGAACACAGGCCAAGTGCATCGGCGGCACCGGCGGCTGCAAGCGCTGCGTCGCGAGGAACCGCAGGTGCGAATACTCGCCCGTCTCAGTCCGGTCCCGTCGCGGCTCCAGCATCGGCGCAGAGGCCGGACTAGTCGCCGAGTCTGCTGCCTCGGCTGCCCCGGGAGGGCATCCAGGCGGTGCCCGTCGGCGGCGGGCATCATCCCAGTCGTCGGCGTCGTCGCTGGCCTCGCCATCCTCGCAATGTCGCGCAGCAAGGGCGCCTCTGAGCCCCGCCCGCGAACGACGCCAAGACTCCATCATGGGGCTAAACGAAGGCCCTTTGTCGCCCTCCAACAGTTCGCCCGTGGACCTCGCCGGCCACGTAGCATTCCCGGATCTGGACCTGGGCGACTTCATCAGCACCACGCCCAGCCCCGCCCACATGGCCGTCGACGACTTTGGCGAGGGCCTCGCGGTAGTCACAGGCGCGGCGGCCGCAAAGGGCGGTACCGCTGTGCCCTCCATGTCCGCAGGCAACATGCCGTTCACGTTCGCGCTTGACAACCTTGGCTTCTCCAGGATCAGCGGCGCCGAAGACTTTGCCAGTCCTGCGCAGAAGAGCAGTGACGGAGAGGCACTGGCTCGCCCAGCGGCGTCGACAAGCGCCAAGTCCAGCTCTGTCCACACGTCCTGCTCCTGCATCTTCACCGCCATGTCTCTCCACGAGGCCGTCCAGATCGACCTTGTCTGGAACGACCTGCCTCCAGATCCATCGGCGGCGACTCGGCCGCTCGGGGAACCTTCATTCGAGTTGTCCTCGGCTGCGACGTTCCCCTTGTCCCCCTCCTTCCAGCCACTCATAACTCAGCAAACCAGACTCCATCGGCAAAAGACGGTTCTGGCTAGACTAGACTCGCTGCTCTGGTGCGGTCCCTGCTGGTCGCGCTCCAACTTTGTCATCCTGATCATCACCATTGCGGAGCGCATCCTGGGCAGCCTCGAGTCGGTCGAGCGCGTGGTGCGCAGGAAGCACGAGCACGGCGGCGGCGGGGGCGGCACCCAGACGGCGACGGCCGACCCCGCGAACCCGTGGCTGGCGGGCAAGACAGGCGCCCTGACGCCGCCCCCGAGCGCGGGGGGCTGGCAGATCGACGACGACGACGAGCAGCGGCTGGTCGTCAGCCTGCTGAGGTCGCGCATGGCGAGGCTGGGCAGCACCATCGCCATGGCGGAGGGCGCCGTGAGCGCCAACGCGTGGTCCTCCCACGACAGGATGGTGCAGGCGCTGCGCAAGAGGTTCAACTCGCTGCTCTTCTCGCTCTCCTTCTCCGACCTGTCATGATATCGCGGAGCTTTACTCGGGGGCTAGCGTTTTTTCAAAGTAAACCCCCTCCTTAGAGGGGGTTGGAAAACTGTAGGACAGAGATTTAATATGGGATAACCACCAAAAAATCCTACTGCGTTGTTTTCGCGTTTTCTATGTATATATCTACACTCTTTTCCACAAAAGACCACTCTTATATCGCTTTTTTTTACTGTTTTTTTTATAACGTAGTTGCATAGCGAGTGGCCCAAC